AAAAAAATAACTAATTAAATATAAGCATGTAAGAATGTGGGTAAGAATAAGGATGTAAGGAAGAGATATGGAGTGCTATGAATGGTAACGAAATATAAAAACGAAAAAACATCAAACATTTATTTTTTTAATAATTTATTAAAATTGATCCATTAAAATTATATATATATCGCTAATTATGACAATATTAGTAAAAAACAATATCTATCCCTTAATGCAACAGAGTGTACAATATCTTTTGTTATCCCATCTTTCACCAACACAAACTGGATGGTTCGAGAGCACGTCACGTATAATTGTCCGTGTGAAAAATATGGTGTGCTCAAATCTAAGCCACAGACAGATATCGTTTGGTCTTGAGACTTATTGATAGTCATTGCAAATGCCAATCTAATTGGAAATTGAAGGCATTTAAATTGTATTGGCACATCTGTGGCCAATACAATTTAATTTCCAGGCATGTCATTGAGTATAAACATTATAGATTCTGAGCGAAGCGAGAAATGTACAAAATTTAACATCATGATTTTTTTTTGTCTGTCTATAAGATGTTATCATTAAGGTACATTTAAGTAATTTTTTTATAATTCTCAACAGTTTTCCAAATAATTAAGATAATATAAAATATTTCACTTCAAAAGTAGTTGACATAAAATATAAATTTAAATATTCCGTTTCCATGGTTGATGATGATCTATGAAATGTTTACTTCTAATAGTAACGAGCTTGATATTTCATTCTTATATGAGAATTTGTATTAGCTACATTCAAGTGACCAAGTGTATTCGTATATGAACTTACTGAATATTAAGTAATAACCGTATAAGTGAAGATTATAATCTTAATATATTTGCGATAATATTGTTGAATAACTTGAATATTTTTGAAAAATCACTTTTTTCTTCAATTTTGATAATAATTTATAAAACAAATTGAAAACCATGGACTCAGCTGCAGCAGGAAGTTCCACAAAACAACAGAACGAAAGCGGATCATCATTAAAAAGTAAAAGAAAGCTCGTCGAGGAGATTGATCCATTGAATGAAATGCTGTCGAGAAAATATAAGAGGTTTTACTTAGAATAATTATATATTCGTAGATTTGTTTTCACCTTAAATAATATTTAAAAGGACGAAGGTGTACGCTGGGAGTAAAAGGGCTGTGAATCCAGAAGTTCCAAGTCTCAAAGATACTTGCATAAATTCCCTAAAGAAGAACTTAGACGGTACATATTATTTTCTCGGTTTATGGTGATATATACATGATTTTAACTCTAGTTTGATGTCACCAGTATATTGATATTATTGTAATATTATTTTATGTTAATTTTTTTAGATTTAAAATCTACTCAAGGGATCCCATTCGACTATCTGGAACCAGCCCTGAAATTCGCTACTCCCGAGCAGTTGCACAGAATTGAAAAAAATAATATTTATCTGATGCAACACACCAATGAACTGTGGGAACACCACACTAAGAAACATTTCCCGAACGAGTACCCTTACAAAGATGAATCATGGAGAGACGTGTACTTTGTAATTATCAATAGTTTTTTATTTCTTAACGTAAGTTTTGTGCCCATCCATTAGTCGCCAGTGCGTTATTATGGTTGTTGATAGTAAGATATAAAATTACACTCATTACTCACAAAACAAG